CCATGGTAATGAGCAAACTAACAGAAGCCAAAGGAAATGATCTCTGAGGAGATGCTCCATCTTTGCTTCTTGCTTGTCTTGATGCCACTGTTCACTGTACTTATTCCAAAATGCTTCTTCATTAATTTGCTCATAGCCAAGTATGTCTATTGGCACCCAATTATATACAACCTTCCAGCTTCCACCTCAACACTGTATGGTAATAATTCCTATATTTCTTAATTCAAAATCCTAAGGGAAAGGGCATATAATTATTTCAGCAGTGTCTATAATTCATAGATTTCTGGCTTCCTCTAGATTGGCTGCTTTGTGATCAATTATTCATCTATAGTTAAATGTGGTCCTTATAATTACATGGAGCCAGAACAGTCATTATGAAGCATGTGTTTCAATTCCATAGGCAAACCTATGCAATCTATCTTTACTCATAAGTAAATTTACAGTAACACATTTGTTATAATCTGTATTTCTAGTAGATTGAATAATTTGACCTGCTGATTACAGATTCTTAACACAATCTTTTTACACATTGGAGAGTATCCGCCACAAATAAAATCTGGGTTTTTTTATTAGTTGATCTGAGCCATTTTCCCTAATAATAACTAGATTGTCAGAGTCACTCGCACTATTAGAGAGAAGAGAATATTTTAAATTTCAGTCTTATCTACTTCATTCAAATGCAAGTCTAGGAATTGAAATATACTTTATTTTTAAAAAGATGATTCCAAACATAAAATTAATTAGATGAAAAGAGTAAAGGTTGGCAAATCATGCAATTCAAAGTTTTTTTAAAAAGCAGAAACAAAATTATTACAGAAAATCTAAAGATATATAAAATATTATATATTATTCCATATTAACTAGACTCCACAATGTAACATGTGAGTGTTCTCATACACACAAGTAAGAAAAGTGTGGTTTATTAAGGGATTATATATCAGAAACTGAATGCATTTTTCAGAGCCTGAAATAAATAATGAGGTAGAATGAAAAGTTTGCCAAATGTATGATAATTTGGATTAAAATAATTCAAAATAATTTCATAATAACACCATCAACAGGAACATTTGGGATATTATGAATTTCAATTTTATTTACTATGAGTTTGTAATTTATAAAACAGTCTCAAAAAAACTACAGAATTTTTCATGTTGCTTTTACTTACCAATTTGTGGGGGTTTTTGTTTGTTTGTTTGTTTTATATTTCTTAAATGGTTTTACCTGATTTGTTGCAGAGTTTCAAAATATATTGAAAGTTCTTTTGTGTGTTCAAGCATTCAAGCATAC